AGTAATATAGTGGCTCCACAGGCTCCCCGGTCAATTCCACAGGCACCCCAGATAATTGTCTACTACCAACAACTATACCCTGCGAGCAGAGTGTATTTCCTTACCTCAATAAAAATTATTTTCCTTCGCGAATTTTTATTGAGGTAAGGAAATACACTCTGCTCGCAGGGTACAACAACTACTAATTGTTCAGTAACGACAGTTCTCTAGTCTCACACTGAGAAATCGATCATTTTTCTTTCTTTTTTAACCTCTTTTTTCTTCATGAATTTTTCATGCTATTTTTGACCCTCCTACGATATAAAACTTGATGTGAACATCTCGACCGAGAACGAGCTACGAAGCAGTGCTCTGACCAAGGTAGTTCAAGCGTATCGTGCATGCGCAATGAAATGGCCCCTAGTTAAGATCAATTAAAGTCCTGCTGTGTCTTTATGGCCGGTTACCGGTCAAGGTCTTGAAAATGCTAAATGGCCGGCAGCCCATAAAATGTGTTTCCAAACTCCAAAATAAATCTCTTTAAAGGGCTACTTGGACGAAAATTGCGAAACATTAGAAAAGACTTTGAAATCAAATAGACCTATCCATATGGGTCTAATAATCATGAAGCAACAGATTTCAAATACAAATCCTTAATATTTTGGGCAAAAAATGTTGGAGTAGATGGGTACTTGGGGAACTTGGGGACGGGAGAGACACTAGTAAACTATGGTGTAGGCACTGGTATACTGGAGATCTTGGGACTGTCCCATGAGGACAGGGGACACTATAGGCCAGTCCTGGACATGTGTGATCTTTTGAATCAAAATTTCTCTTATGTGGGATAACTCCAAAACAAATATTTTTCCGCAATTGTTTTTAATAGATAAAAATGAGTCATATATTTCTATTGCTTGAAGTTTTGAAATAAGACCATTTTCATGCAAGTAGCACTTTAAAACTTACATAAATGTCGCGCCGAAATTCATTGTGCTTAGAGACATTGTGCGAACTTGAACCGACTGCCGGCCACGCAACAACGAAATCCTAAATGGCCAGCAGCCCATAAAATAACGAATTTTCTTTTATTATTCTTATTTAAAGAGTTAAAACAACATAATCGACATTTCTGAAACTTTCATGGTACTGTAGAGACATTTCTCTATTCGAGAAAAATCTCAACCAACACGGCGGACAGTGCCGGTCACGCAACATCAAAATCCCATAAAATAACAGATTTCTCTTTTCATGCATCTTTTATTATTCAAATTTAAGAGTTAAAAGATTATTGCCAGTGTTAGTACATTACTCTATCCGAGAAACATCTGCATTCTTTACTAGGATTACAGTTCATGTTCAGAGGGTTATGCTGGGTGGCAGACAGCTCATATGCAGTGGAATCATTATCATAATGAAATAGGACTTTAGTAGGAGAACTATAGCATTGATGTATGATGGCAATGTTGTATGATGATAATGTTGTATGATGATGAAAATGTTGTATGATATGATAATGCTGTATGACGATAATGTAGTATGATGAAAATGTTGTATAATAATAATGTTGTATGATGATAATGCAGTATGATGAAAATATTGTATGATGAAAATGTTGTATGATGATAATGTTGTATGATCATGATATTGTATGATGAAAATGTTGTACATATTAATAATGTTGTATGATCTTGTATGATAATGTTGTATGATGAATCATATTATCATCATACATTATCATCATGCAACATTATCAACATATAATATTATCATCACACAACATTATCATCATACATTATCATCATGCAACATTATCAACATATAACATTATCATCATACAACATTATCATCATACAACATTATCATCATACAACATTATCATCATACAACATTATCATCAAATCATACTACATTATCATCATACAGCATTATCATCATACAACATTTTCATCATACAACATTTTCATCATATATCATTTTAATACAACATTATTATATAAGCTGTCTGCCACACAGCATAACCCTCTGAACATGAACTGTAATTCTAGTAAAGAATCCAGATTTTTCCCGGGTAGAGTAATGTACTTACAGTTGGAACTGGCAATAATCCTTAAACTCTTAAATTTGAATAATAAAAGATGCATGGAAAGAAAAATCTGTTATTTATTGAACTGCCGGCCATTTAGGATTTTGATGTTGCGTGACCGGCAGGCCGCCGTGTTGTTTGAGGTCTTTGAGATTTTTCTCGAATAGAAAAATGCCTCTACAGTACCATGATAGTTTCAGAAATGTTGATTATGTTGTTTTAACTCTTTAAATAAGAATAATAAAAGAGAAATCTGTTATTTTATGGGCTGTCGGACATTTAGGATTTCGTTGTTGCGTGGCCGGGAGTCGTTTCAAGTTCGCACAATGTCTTTAAGTGCAACGAATTTCGGGGCGATGTTTATGTAAGTTTTAGCACACTCATTTTACTCGTAGAGATTTATTTTGGAGTTTGTAAGCTCGTTTAGATAATAAGAGAGGGAAAAACACATTTTATGGGCTACCGGCCATTTAGCATTTTCAAGACCTTGACCGGTAACTGGCCCTATAGACACAGCCTTTCTCGCTTTTAAAGTGCACCTTCACGATTTCTTTTTATTATCTAAAACAATTTTTATGAACCTTGTAAGACTTTCTGTGAAAGTTTGGTGATYATTTTGYAARCGGTTGGGACGAAA